GCCGAAGTCTCTCTTTCCAAAGAGATAGAAGAACTGATAAACTCTGGAAAAATCAAGCTGTTCCAAGTTCTACTAGCCGTAACTTCCTTCAGAATGAACATTTTGGAAATCCGAAAGCAGCACAATCAACAGTGCTTATTGGAGTCTTTTATGTTTGATGTGCGCTGCGTTGCGACCTTGTGAATATACGCGCGCAGAAAATTTTGAAAAAATTGGAAACGGATTTTCAAGGACATGCTGTATACCGAACGATTCGCCTTGAAGAGCTGAATACAATGCTGCTTTCGGATTTCGAAAATGTTCATTCTGAAGGAAGTTACGGCTAGTAGAACTTGGAACAGCTTGATTTGTCCAGAGTTTATCAGCTCTTCTATCTCTTTCGAAAGAGAGACTTCGGCTGCTGTTTAGTACCACGATAATCTATTGAAAGAGTACTATCGAAAGGTGCCCATGGCAGTCTCCTATGTGTGATGGTCGTTGCGTTACCACCATGCGAAGAGGCGTCCGCGTGCAAATTCAAGATTATCGAAAACAAGGTATTGGACACAACCTGCACAACAAAAGATTCGCCTTGACGAGCTGAATACAATGCTGTTTTCCGATTTCGAATATACTCATTCGGAAAGAAGTTATGGCCCTGCGTAATTTGGGTGATTCACATGAATTTCGCGAAATTTCCGGAATTTCGCGGAATTCCCGGAATGTCGCGGAATTCCCGAAATTTTGCGAACCTTCGCGGAATTCCTGGAATTCTGCGACATTCACGGAAATTTTGCACATTCTGTGAGCGGTATTGTATAGTATTTCCGTGACTTTCTAGACACTTTAAGTGCTTGAAAAAAAAAGGGATCACCAAGTTCTGAGCTATTCATTCGAATCAAAGTGAAGAACTTTGTGGTTTCATAATTTGAAGTCTAAAGGTATGCATGCACCTCTGGTCAGATTTCTAGTGCTCTATTGCAATAAAATGTGGTAAGGTATAGTCAAGCTAAGCAAATTTAAGTGACTGAATTTACGTGATAAGTAATTGTAAGGCTACTATTAGTTAAATGCCCTGCGGCACTTATACAGGGTGCGCCAAAATATTCAAAGTAATCCCACAACAATGGCAGTGAGAAATTTGGTCTGGATTCAATGTCACAGAATGCCGTAAGCATGCTCTACAAAAAGCACTATTAAGATCCCAAATCGGTCTTTATTTAGAGAAGTAAGAATTGAAAAGCAATGTTCATGACAGAAAAAACGCAAGCTGACGCAAACTATTAAATAGTCAAAATTTTTGTTTTGAATGCTTCTAAAGATTCCAAAACTCAGTGATCTTAAAGTCTAAAACTAGCTCTATTATACAGCGAAATCATTCCCTGAGAGAAGCGGTCCAAAAAGATACATGCTGGGCAAATTTGTGAGCCTCTACCCGCGTGCAGCATGCGACAAAGCCAAAGAAATATTATGAATTTTTGCCGAAAAGCAGAACAGGCAATTTCACTTTTTCAACTAAGCTACAATATTATTGAACCAAGAAAAGTATCAGGTTCGACTGCTGGCTGAGCCGGTCTTATATTCGTATGGCGCTTAATGAAACACGCGCAAATAATTGTGGCGCACCCTGCATGATATAGTCGCTACTAAGGCCCGGACCGTATGCCCCACGCCCGCGACGCTGATTGGTCCGCTTCCAGTACGGTCTGGGCTAGAGTTGAGCACCGCGTTTCTCGTCCCATTACCGTACTCATACCACGCCGACCAATTTCGAGTACGGGACTAAACGAGAGTATGTCTTTGAAACTTGAATGATTCATCTGAGCGGCCACTTGGGCAACACAATGTCTTCCGATCGGAATCACATGAAAATTCTTGAGAAAACTAAAGATGTCAACACATCTGAGCTTCGTGCTCGCAAATGCTCATAATATGAGGAGTTTGTGGATTCAAGCGGTCATAATCTAGCGGAGGGGATGAGTCAGAGGCATTTCGAAGAGTCGGAGGTTACACACTCGAAGGGCTGCCGGGCAGTCGGAGCAGCGCCTGTCAGGATCAGCACAGCTGATATTTGCAGTGGCGGCCGTCGTCGGTTTCTCGGCTCGGCTATCCGGCTTGGCGAAATCGCCCCTGCTTCGACCCCGGTCCTGTCTCTGTCCCCTGCGGTGTCACGCCCCAGTCATTTTCTAGCCGAATGCTTTCGTTTTACGAGCTCAGCTCGAACGGATTTAGCTCAGCTTCGATCGATGCCGACTTTTGTGATTTTTGCTATTTTTTCTAGTTTTTTTTTGAGTTCGCTTCAACTACATGTTCTGTTGATCATTCCCTTGCATAAGGAGTTTCTCAGTTATTGTCTGAATGCCATTCTGCGCAAATTATGTTTCAGAAAAAAAAATCAGGACTCAATGAGTGAAAATTGAATCAATCGATTTCGTAGATTTCACTGGTATCAATAATTACAATTATACTTGCAGTCCGCAAAAAGCTTTTGAGCAAAACTTAGTACACAGAAATTTTCTGAGCGTTTCTTTTCGCTTGAGGAAATTCCAAGGAAATATAAGAGGTTTTCTTCTGCGTCACTGTTTATTATCTATATAATGGAAAAATGTAAGCAGCAAGGTTCAGCCTAACATACCAGAGTTTTTTATGGGAAGCGATGAAAATGACAGAAGCCAAAAAATATTGTACGCTTTCAGATTGTTAGCAAAATCATTTCTTGAAGTTTTGAAGTGAAAAATTCTGTTCAGAAAGTTCACTTAATTTTTTTTAAACTCAAAAATTCAGGTATTCGCTCATACAAGCAAGTCATGCAAATTATGTAGACTATTTTCAATTTTTCAGCTTCATGCACTTGCGCTTTTTCTGTGAACAACTTTTTCGAAGCATTTAGAAAATTGCCTTTTTTGATGTAAAGTGCGGACGCAATACATAAAATGGCATTTTTTTCGAGAATAGCGAGTTCACAAAGAAAAATAAAGTAACACTCAGGCGTTTCCTGTCATGATGCTGCCCCTGTTTGACTCAATTGAAAGCATTTTTGATTCACAATAGCTTCCGTTTTTCATTGGCATTCGGTAGTAACCAGTATTCACGATAAAAATGTGATGAGTGAATTCGGAGAGCTATCTATCACGATAAAATTCTCTGTAATGTGTTACAGGGTGTTAAAAAAATGTACTCACTGTTTGATTGTAAATAACTCTCTTGTAATGAAGTGTTTCGGGAAGCTCTAGGTACCATTTTGTAGAGCTGGCTTCAACTTAGATCTAAAGTATGTAGCGAAGCGCCGATTACCAAGCATATGGTGTCACTGTAAAAAAGCTGCGGTTTCAAAAATTTTCAAATAAATGATTGTGTATAGGTTTCCATTGACGCTGAGTTCAATACTCAATTATGTACAAGGTTGCGAAGCTTTCTAAACGGTTTAATTGCATTTTTCGGGAGCATTGGAAAAACGGCCAGAACTGTGCTTACCTCTCATAAACTTTTTATTAAAGCATTATGATAAGCTGCAAACTTCACGTTTAGAATCAGCAGCTCCAATTAGCCCAGTGTGAAACTTTTCAGGTTATTTTGTTTGCTTTCTGAGGCAAAATAGGGCCTTTCATGGCTAAAAACCCTCTTCAAAGTTCCTACCGTAATCCTACAGTAATGAAGAGCAGTCGGCGATTCGCCCTATACTGCTAATTGAAGCTGAACCTCGCTCTACAAAATGCTACCTGAAGATTCCCGAAACACTTCATTACAAGAGAGTTATTTACAATCAACAGTGAGTACATTTTTTTTTGGGACACCCTGTATATTTACTGATCAGATAACAGCATTCGGAACAGCGATTTCATGAATTATTATCAACGAACGATTCTTGAATCAAGGAAGGATTGTTGACGTCATTACGACAAAAGCTAGTACATATGTACTTGTATACGGTACAGGTAGGGTAATTGGATGCCTAAGAGGATAACATTGTCATATGTAATACCACAACAACGGCTCACACTCAAGATGTCGAAAATTATGAAAAAAATTACAAAAAAAAATGCTTTACGATTGCGTGTCAAAGACTGTTTGAAAAGCATTAATCTTAGCTCTTAACGATGAGTCGTCAGGACTCTGCTCAGCTACTTCAAAAACTTTCAAAATGAAAATTTTTCATTGGTGGTTTCCCAAATTACATTGTTTGCAGAGTGCTTTTTTATGATCAGCTAATTGAGTGATCTTTTGCCCCTTTCTTTCTTGCAGAACATACCGGTCCGCTTTCATCCTCCTACTTTAATGCTTAATCCACTTTTTTGGATAATTGAGTTCATGGCAATAGGTAGTAAGTTATTTTTGTCTTTTTGTTGTGACACTTTTACGACAATCTTATCAGGAGTACACAATTATAAAAAGATATAGTTGTATAGATACTGTTTCCCTTATTGATTATTCAAGGGTGTGTCTGCTGAAGGAATCTCTGGAACAAAAGATCTTATCTGCTACTTGGCCATTTGATTACCCTCAAAACGAAATTTGTTGAAAAATGATTTAACATCAATGGCAAATTATTAGATTTGTTTCCGTAAATCATGGCTTAGATCATCTTCTACATAGTATTTGCTCGAAATAAATTCACAAAATGTCTTTTGAATCTTCACAAAACTAGCCTGCAATCCTGAATCTTCACAATACATTAAAGCTATTGTGCCCTTAAATAAACTGGTTTTTATCTTACTTAGGCCTGAATAGCGTCATTTATTGCATTGAGAATTCAAAGTGTGTAATTGTAACTGTAAATGAATGCAGTTTTCGCAATTTTTCGCTTCCTTCTGAAGTATGACATTTTATTCGGTTTTATTTGTGATCCAAATTCTCCTAGATAAGATATGGTCGTCTTTGCTCTACGCTAAAACCTGGTCGTTCTTGATCTACCCCAAAAAGTAGTCGTTCTTGGTCTACTCCAATATGGTCGTTCTTGATCTACTCTTTGTACGCCTTGTAGACGTTATCAATACTATGCCTGCATCTTAAGCATCTTTCAAGGTATCCAGATGGCCGATCCAGAATTGGCATCAAAGCTGGCACGGCGTTTGGAAAACATCGACAGTTTGGATGAAGAAGATGCTCGGCCTCATAAGGAACCTCCACCAGCTCCAGTTCTGCCAGAAAAAGTTCGTTTTCCTCTCTTTTTACAGTAAAAAATTTCTCGGTTTCCAGTCTTGAAAGATAGGATCTTCTCCCCACAATTTTTCAAGAAAATAGTTCCCAGGTTCCAAGTTTAAGATGGATTATTCCAGATTGTTCCGAATCCATATGTTGCCGCGGACGATTCGGTGTCAATTGATGACCTCATCGCTCGCACTCTGAAACGGAACGAACACGCCGACGAACATAGTGAAGAGAACAACAATCACGTAAGAACATCGCGTCCTCCTCTTTTCCGCTCGTTTTTCCGCGCGGCATCTGCTCCTCCAGAGCGCGCACCGCCGCGAAGATGCGCGCGCGCGTGCACACGCGCGATGTTTTCCGCTGCTGCTGCTGTTTTGCGCACTTGCTTTTGTAAACATTGCGAGAACTATATTCTTGCGAAAAGTCAAGAGCGCTCACCTGCTTTCGAGGATTTGCGACGCGCACCGGGGATTTCTGGATGTAAGTCATTGCGAAGGTGAATCAGCTCAGTATCTCAAAAAGTCACAGAGTTCGATCAATTATCGATTTTTTCTTTGAAGTTACAGTAGTACATGTAAATCTGACTGTTCTCTACCTATTAAATTATACGAATCAACTTCAAATCAACACATTCATGACAAGGCTCGTTCTTTTCGGACCAGAGCTTATTTTTTAAAAGTGAGTCGCGTAAGATTTTCTGATCACTGATTGGTCCCATGGTCTGAAGTATTAATCTTCTGAGAAGTATTCCAAGAGACGTATACAGAAATTCATTCAATTTGCCAAAAGTTTGATCGTGAACTAGCAATTCAAAAGCTTCAGAAAGCTTAGTCCCACCGGTGGGTCACATCGTCCGAAATGGCAGGACACTTATGACCCACCGGTGGATCGTATTGTCGTAAATGTGTCAAACTAAATCACAATCTACTCTCATTGTATCAAATTTACTATCATTAATATTATGTACGACTTTTTCGCACAAACTTCTTAAGTTCTTTGATTTTTTGTGCGAAACTAAAATAGTGTTGGTCTATTGGCTTTCTGGTATTTCTGCAATTCTATGCTGTTCTTCGAACGAAATTTTTAAAATCGAGACAATCTGTGACTTGTGTCGAATTTATTTGCATAAGCATCATTTTCTAAATACTGTTTGACACTCGTTGGAAACTTTCAATCTAAAAAGACCGAACTTGCTGTAATCCATACTTCATCTTCATTAATGTCTGATTTTTTGTCATTTTCTAGTATTTTCCAAAGGGAGAATTGCTGATGTTATGCATCCAAATCAAAAATTATGGTATTTTTCTTTTTCGTAATTCGAATACGGAATAAAATATCAGAAGAAGGCAAGATAGTCATGAAAATGTGACCAAATTATGCTTCTGCATCAGTGAGGAAATACTCAGATGACTATCAAAAAACCTTCACTTATCCAACAGCCCAAAATTCTGATGCCAGATTTTTTATTGCATTCTATTAGATGCATACGAAGCTCCTGCTAGTTCTTTAACAAGAATATAGAGGGTTGACGTCTCTACAAAAGCTTTCTAACCAATTTTTTGAGCCAGCTTCTTGATAGCGAGCTGCCTTCCATGTTCTGCTCGATGCATCAGTTGCACAAGAACTTTGGCAACACTTCTGCACCAGGTGTGCGAATGTTACATTTTTATCCATCGAGCACATAACAGTTGTAAAGGTGCGGATAAAACCCAGAACGGTGGAGTACGGATGCTGACACTTAACACTGGGATTTATTGATCACCTTTGATTTTTAGTGAGATAAAAAATAAGGGTGTGGGCCGACAGACTTTCAAAGATACGGAGCCAATTGCAGAGTTAGTATTATAAATAACATTGTGTTATAAGTTCAACATATCCTTCGGAATAGATTTTATCGGCTGAGGCGGTCTGTTTTACGCATATTATAATTTTCAGCACTTTTTCTTCACAGACGTTACCATGTAGACATACTTATAAGGACAAATGAAATGAAACAAAGAAACGATTGAGAAATTGCTTGTTTACTATACCGAGAATGTCACCCAAAAACCAACAAACTTCAGTATTCACAAAAAAATTCGTTTCACTTCGCTATTGCGTGTGCAAGAGATGATTTCTGGATCGTGACTATGTTCTGCTTTTCATTAAATTCATTAACTAATCCAGTACAGGTGGCTTACGAGCAAGCTGGATATCACTTTTTGGGACAAAAAGCAAAGGGAATATCGTTTTTGTGGCTGAAAAAACACATTTTAGGTCACGTTTTTTGATCGACGTCTCGTTTTTTCGATTACGTTTATGGTTTAGGGTCAAAGGGGACTTTGTGAAATTTTGGGGAGGTAGGGGACTTCGTTTTTTGCATTTCCGGAAAGCCACCTTGTGCCGAGCGCTGAAGTAATCTGTCGAAGTATGGCAAGTGTACGGTAATAGATGGACCACATCATAACAAAAACAACAACTGTAGGGGCATCAGAACCATATCCAGATTCAGCCCCTTTGTCTAGTTGGATGAAAGTGTCTTTTCCTTTAACAGCGATTTACCTAGTTGGTCCTCTTCAACTTCATGGAATCAAAAAATGCCAAAAAGAGATAGTTTCCACTGATTTTCTTGAAATAGTTATAAACAGGAACATGCTGACTTTTTCACGGTATGATAGAGTCTGTGTGAATTTAGACTATTGAAAACTTGTGGATAAATCCATTTTCGGTACTTATAGTGTGTAATGTTATATTCATCTATAGCTTATAGTGTAATGCTATGTTCATATGTGTCGTGGAATCATATTGCACCGTATCTCACAGTACGGCAAAAGGTGTGTCCAGTTCTATACACCTTTTTCACTTGACGCTGAGTTGTTCTTCCCAGAAAACTGATAATTTCTAACAGTGCATGAATTTACTAAACTCTGGAATTTTCTGCCAAGGTTAGCGGTGTATAGTGCTGTCAATCACCTGTTTTTCCTCTGTCATTTCTCGGAATTAATGTTGGAAAAGCTAATAGAAATCCATTTGCCATTAATCGGTTTTACGGCGGTGAGCGTATGAGTCAAATGGATGTGAACACTGAGAGCAGCTGCTGTCCATCGCATTCGTTTTTTTCCTCGTAGCCATCGGCCCACGGAACCTCAGTGAAAGATCGAATTGTGGGGGAAGGGGGTGAATTTTTGATGATAATAATTACTATGGCTGTTTACGGATGCGCTATTTCGTTAGAGAAGCCTGGATACTGTAGATCATACGATATTGGTAAATGCAAACTATTCCTTTCGAAAAAGCTCCAGTTCCTTTTTATTTGTACATATGGTAACTTGTTCTCATACATATGGTAACTTCTCGCTATGCAACACTCACCAATTCTTTATTTCAGTGACTTCCCCAAAAATTCTCAGCAATCTAAAAGAAGTCGATTACCCTAAATTTTTGAAAAAAATCCATTTTTAATGAACAGAAACGTTAGTTCAAGCCTTCTAGCACATGAAAACTGCATATCACTGTAAATAACATGATTTCATTGACAAGCTGAGCGCAGACTACACAGCGCAGATTTTTAGGCTTCGCAAATAAAAGTATATGATTGAGAAAACAGCCATTCGAGACGCTTTCCATAGCAGCGCGTCTCTGATTGGTCAACGCTGGTTGCGATTGGTCAGATTTTGTTGGCGGAGCAAGGACGACTGAACTGTTTCCGTAAGCATGCTCGTTTACTTTTGTAGCATACTTTAATGCAAAATTGTATATTTTTTCTCCGACAACGTCCTTTGCAAAAACGCGTCGCGTAATCACCGCGCTTTCCACTCGAACTGCAGAACTGCAATGATTAACGTTGTCAAAGAGCAAATCAATTATTTCGCCTAAATACTTACATGCCACCATTTTCTATATTTAGGTTCCCGTCACGAATCCCGACGATGTCAATTCGACGCGTACAACACAATCCGACGCAGTTCAATCTACACATCCAATCAAGCCGATAGCTGTGGACACATCCTTTGAACCGCATCGGGTTGGTAGCCCTGGAAGTAGAAACAGCCCCGCTCACAGTCTCCCAAAGACTCCACCACCAAAGACAACCATCGGAGAGTTACTAGTCAAGGATCAACAGCCTCTGCCAGCTCCACCAGCTAGTCGCTGTCCAGTGATTCCGATCCAGCATCATGTACATAAGATGGAGCCGAGACGGTTACCGAGTCCTGAGGATGAAGGAGAGGAATTAGAAAGGAAGCTGGCTGCTCAGAGATCAAAAAAGCACTATGCACAGACGCCAAGCCCAAATTCTGCAGTGGTTTTCTCAAATTCGGATAGTTCAGTTACTGCCGAGCCCAGTGTAAACTATGCCGAGTCAGAACGGGCAAATTCCAAGCCCTCAGCCGAATCTGTGACCGAACAACCACAGCAGAATAACCTCTTCACACCTAACAATGTGGTCGAAACCCAAGCCGAGATACATGCTGACCATACAGACCAAAAATCCTTCAAAAAATCTCCCTCACCTTTAAATTCACAATCCCCCGCACATCCATCAGTATCATCTCCTCCGCCGCCACCACCTCCGCCTCCACAGCACGTCAAAAACTTCTCCAGAGAAGGATCTGTAGAAAAGCCTAGCAGTCTAAAAAGCGCATTGGATCCTGATGACCTTCGGCATTTGATCCTAGAGGAGTTGAAGAAAAATAAGACCAACGTGGAGGAGATGATTGTGTTGAGGGGAATGAAGCAGGGTAGCAGCGAGAAGTCATTTTCACCATCGAGGGAGCTTTTGGAGATGATTCAGCGAGAAAATGGGTAAGCTTTACCATGTTTGCAAATTCGTCGACTTTCTTGTGTTTTTCTTAGAAACTACACATTTTAGCGAAACAAAACAAAGTATCAGTCATAGACTGGAATAGCCTTCGAATTTGCAAGATGGGACACTTTAGACAACTCTCTGAGAGATCGTAATTTAGACTATTTTAAGAGAAAATACTCCCTTTCCTGAAAACAAAGTATTTTCTTTATGCGTTACAGACTTTTTGCTTATTCTCCTAAATCACAAATTGAGTATATGCATCAGGTAAGCTAGAAGATAACTTAAATATCGTCCCGCTGCTTAAAACTCTCAAAAAACTTATTCATGATGTTTCGCTCTTTCGAAAGACATAAAGCAAAAATTATCAGATAATGGCGTATACAGGGTGTCCCAAAAAAATGTTTCGAACGTTTGATCGTTAATATCTCTCTTCCCAAGAAGTCTTTTGCCTTGCTTTAAGGACCGTTTTGTAGAGCTGGCTTCAACTTAGATTTGCATTATAGAATGAATTACCCATCTCTCTTCATTACTGTAGGATTACGGTAGAAACTTGAAAGAGGATTTTAAGCAATGAAAGGCCATATTTTGCCTCAGAAAAGAAACAAAACAGCCTGAAAGCTTCTACACTAGGCTAATTAGAGTTGCTGATTATAAATGTAAAGTTTCCGACTTATTACGATGCTTCATTGAAGAGTTATGCCAGGTAAGAGGTAGCGGCCATTTTTTCAATGTTCCTAAAAAGTGCGATTACACCGTTTAGAAAACTTCGTAACCTTGTGAACAGTTGAGTATTGAACTCAGCGTCCATAAAAACCCTATTACACAAGTTTTCACAATTATTTGAAAAATTTTGAAGGCAGCTTTTTTCCACATTGACACCACATGTTTCAAGTTTCTACCGTAATCCTACAGTAATGAAGAGAGGTGGGTGATTCGTTCTATAATGCAAATCTAAGTTGAAGCCAGCTCTACGAAAGGGTCTCTGAAGCAAGGCAAAAGACTTCTTGGGAAGAGAGATATTAACGATCAAACGTTCGAAACATTTTTTTTGCGACACCCTGTATTTCGGAAGAATCTTTTTTGTTTATAAAGAAATGGCCAAAGTGAATAGGACGCTAACTTTTTCATAATTTTTGCAAAGAGAATTGCAAACACCGAAGAACGCAAGAACACCTGTAAAAAATTTTTTTGAAAATTTGTGCCTCAAATAGCCACTTTACATATCAAATCAAATAGCTTGAGGCCCACTTTTGCCGGTAATTTGAGAAATGTTCCGCATTTGAAACTAGGAAAAACTACTCCTGTAGAACTCGATCTCTTTCCTATTTATCGAATAGTCAACGTTTGACATTGCCAATCTTTGCTATACTCGAAGTAAATTTTTACAGATGTGGTTTTTTGTAGGTTTGCTAAGCTAGCTGAATTCTGCTTCCATACCTACAAACAGTAAAAGCCCGTGATTTTTTAAATTAAACATTCTTACAAGAAAAACATTTTTAGTTGAAGTGGCCTTTCCACATGACACCTAAAATACTTTGTAGAGCATTGAACATGGTTTCCAAAATTGTCTTCCTTTTCTGTCAGCTCTCCGAGAGAGGATATGGGTATAAAGTCTAAATTTGTCAAGCCTTAGGTGGCATCACATTAACGAGAAAACGTACAAAAACACTTATCAGGGTTTTCACTGGCTGTGTTCCCTTCCTTGTAGTTAACATACTTGATACATAATTACCAACTTCTGATTGTTTTTGTACAGTTTTTGCAAATATTGTGCCACTCATAACAATACAAATTTATCTTTTGAACACTCACAGCTCATTAGGAGAGTTGTTCAGCAGAAAAGAAAGCGGCTTTGGAATCAGGGTTCAAAGAGCATCTGGTGATGTAGGTGTCATATGGAAAGGGCACTTCAACTAAAAAAAATTTCCCTTTTCAGTAACATTTACCTTAATTTTTTGTGCCCAATCATTGTGAGAAGAAAACCATTTTCTAGCCAACCCAGGGCAATTAAACTCTTAGGTCATAAAAGTTCGCATAATTAAGGTGCCTCCACAGGTCAGGACATCTCTTCAGGCAAATTACGCGATGTGTTGCTATGCAGTTCTCTCAGCAAATATAAAGTGCCAATGATGCCAGCATTTTTCATTTGCGCCAGAAAATTTTTGTGTATCATGCTCTACTATATTTTGCTATCTGCTACGTTATTCTTTTCTTCATTTTCTGATATGAGAGAAAATATTTCAGTGTTCGTACTCCGCCTCCGGTACCTCCACCGAAGCCACTAAGTCGACCACAATCTCCAGCTATTACTAAAGTACGTTTTTTTTTCAGTTGTAGAGCTAGTGGAAAATTGTCCTTTGATTCCAGAAATTTTTCCATTCCACTAAAGAAATTATTTTTCCTGAATAATGCAAAAATTTCATTTTCCCAATTGCCTTTCCGCATAACAAAGCCTTTTCTACTAGTACTAATGCAAACGAATTCTACAAAATTCTCTGGGGAACGTCATCCTTGCCCGTTTTTCATTTCCCCCGATAGGAGGAGCATAATGCTAGTAATTATCGGAACCCAACCACAGGGTAGTGCAAAGTGCTTCTTAGCGGATATCCTTGGTTCTTGCAAGGATTCGCTTAGTGTTCATTCATCTTGACCCAGATACGGCTCTTGAAATAGTTCATAAGGGAGGGGGGAGGGGGGTAAAAGATAAAACCGCTGTTGGCTTGTATTCAACTCAATCTACTTACTTGTATTTGAGATGGATGTTCGACACTTCAATTTTTTTGTTTGGCTTCTCCTTTCTGCGTGCTTCATTTTTTCGCCAAACAACTTCTTGTCAATATTTTGTCTTGTTGAAATAACAAAAAATATAGCCTCAGGTTTCTCATTTGAAAAATAATTAGGAGGCTTTGAGTAAACTACTGCACAAGCTCAAATCATGCATTTTCGGCTGCAAAATACAACTATAAACTCGTGCCCATACCGTATCCTCTATCGTACCCACAAGAACGCTGATTGGTTCGCTCGCAAACACCTCTGCTTATGATTTTACGCTTCATTTCAGCTGTCGCGATTGGACAAATCATGCACTTTTTGTACAGCTGTGCATGTTTCTTTGACAAATTCACAACAAGGCCGACTTTTCGATTATGCCGTTGCGGACCAGAGCCGTTTTCCCTTTTCAAGCTCACGACCCACCCGTGGGTCGTATTGTCCGAAATGATAGTTTTTTGGAAAGATTTCAAAAATGTCTCTGAGAATTTTCCCGCAAGGGTCATCGAAGGCGCTTATTATCAACAGAGCTTCAGGAATCTTACGGCCCACCGGTGGGTCATATTGTCGTGAATGTGTTAAAGCTCTCTCATGCTCGAATTTTTCCCCTCTCTAGACTCCCCATTGATCTATTTTGTACTAAAGCCATCTTTCAGCAATTCCACTTTACTGAACATCGCCCAGCCATAGCAGCCATATAATTAGTTTCTAAAACCCACAGCCAGGCGGCTGTCAGAGGCGATTCATCTTCAATGCCACAACGACACATCTGGCTTCATTCGCCTCTCTTCAGCATAGTACTATAGTGTCGCCGCCCTTGATTTCTTCACTTCCTTACGCTTCAAGTGCTCCTGTTTAAGCTGGCTTGGTCATTCCTTCTCCCCTTCCTTATCCCCTTCCCGAGATCATAAGAATATTATATTAGTGAGGCAATCATCGTCACAAAAGTTCCAAGAAAATAGATTTTCTGGAAATTCTCGTAAACAGTACTTTTTCAAAGTCTTGAAACATTAACTTTTCGCCAGTGATTCATGGTAATTTTATTACAAACTCTTGAAGTAGAAGTCTCTTTTCTTTTTTGAAGTATTCATCCACACACCCATTCCTTTCATGTTTCCGTTTGAAAGTAAAAAAAAATGACAATCCTGGAACATGGCACTGAGTATAGTACAGAAGAGCGAACAAGGAATGCGACAGTGGCTGCAAAACGCTTAGCAACTCTTAGTTCCGCCCATTCATGCAACGCCTCACTATATCGTGGGGGGCAGGCGTTATGGAGCAAAGCAGCGCCGCATTCCCCTGCGGTATATCCTGAGGGCCAATTGCGTTGCGTCGCCTTTAATTGCAGCCGCAGGAGTACGCCGCTGACAACGAACTGAGCCATTCCATATTGCTACGCCTTGAGAAGATGTCCAAAATGCATGAATGCATTTTAAAATAGAAAAATAGATGGCGGATGCAAAGGCTGAATCCCAGATGAGAATAAAAGACTGATTTCAACTGTTACACGAGAATCAGTAGAGAAAAGAGACAGAAAATTTTCGTTACTGACTTTCCAAGCTTTTACTTTCTCTTGGATGCTACTTTCAAACACTTCTTCCTCAGAATCTATTTTTTCAAAATTCGTTTAACTTCCGCATTTTGGTCTCTCTACAGAAGAAGAATTTCGAGAATGACTCGATCCGCTGGGTATCGCTAGCTCCCCTGTGGGTGCAATTAGAAGCGACACAACGCAAAGGGTCCTCAGGATATACCGCAGGCGAATGCGGCGTAGGCTTTGCTCCATAACGCCACGCCGCCCTATATCGTGCTAGGACCGTTTGACTATTACCTCGACCTCCGTTTTTGCCGCTTGATAAGCGGGAGCAGATCCTGTTTTTTGAGCGGAAGTTCTAAGCTGCTGCCGTTTACATTTTGTACGTAATACTGCATTTCCCAAATTTGACGAACATAGTGTCGCTGCGGTGCCAACAATATTTGCGCGGAGAAAATTGCTGTATGCCGATAACTTCGGCGCAGGAACTGGCCACAGAGCACACTTGTTATAAGTGCGCACACTACCATTTTTTACGCTAAGTGCCTTCTGCGACGCAAGAACACTAGTTTACTTGTAGTACGAAATTGGCTCTATAAGAAATTCCTGTCTCTGGCTATGACTATTTTTATAGTATGATTATGGGATTAAGATGCAGAGAAGTGAAAAAAATCATGTTTTTCAAAGCTAGGATGATAATCACCTCGCGTTCAACGCTTATCGACTCACTTTGAATAATTTATTTCAGCGATTTTTAGGTCTCTCTCCAAACACTAAGACGATAATAAGTGCATCACTAATAAATGACTATTCGTAGTGGATTATTAGCGTGTGTGCACTTGCACTATTAGCTCATTATCTGCTAACGAAAGTGCAGTGGTGAAACATGATACATGCAAAAAACGCTACTAATCATATGCAAAGGCTATATCCAGCCTGCCTTCGTGCGAAAACGCTACAAATGTTGAGAAACGCACTTTTTTTTGCTTTGCTATTTGAAGCTCCATGTTCCTTGACTACTGACTGCTATGTCACTCTTTGTTTCAGGACTCAACGGAGTACCGTTAGGTTAAAAATTAGATCCCTAGTAAAATATTCTTGTATGAACGCTTTGCATCATCACAAGGACTGGCTGAAGTACAACTGCGTAGAAGAATTACTGTAAAAAAAAGTTTTTGTGACGAATTACAAACACTGAAATTGTCTTATTTTCATCAAGTTTCTGGAAAGTTTGCTTTCAAAAATTAAAGATTGAGAGGTAATTCTGGTGGGCATTAAGCACACGCCCTGCTTGATCCGCTTGATCCGCTTCATCCGCTTCATCCATTTCAATTGGTCAAATTAGTGAACTGAGCAATGGCGAACTGAATAAAGTGCAAGTGGGTCAAATAAAGTTTGACCAATATGTGGATGAAATGAAACAAGCGGGTCAAGTGGGTCAAGAATGGCGCATGCCTAAAGTCAAATTCATTCACGAAAATTGACTTCTTTGTCCAAATGTGAGGAGATCCAATAACTTTTTGAAGAGTTTCATTCTGCGGCCATGCGCTGAACGCATTCTGCTTCGTGAGAGGATAGCGAACACGTGCAGGCCTTTTACAATAACTTTGTGAAGGCTAACAGATTACCAAGTCAACCCTTTATACTCCCAGATACCCCCTGTAACATTTACCCAGCGGATAGAGGGCTTACTTGGCCCAGGTGAGGGATCGAACTCTGGCGGCGCCTCGTACCACTGCGCCACTCGTCCCCAATTGCAAAATTTTTCAGCTTTTTTTCCAAGTTAGCTTTACATATCAAAATTTTCTCTGTATCCATTACAACATGAAAAAAGTCTAATGACCCGTGATACTTCTCTGGGAAGCCCCCAAAGGCGCCTAAAAAAGCCCAAAAAGCCCAAAAGCACCAGAAAGAGCCGGAAAGTCTGGATTGCGATTATCTGCATTGGGGGGGGGAGGGTGGGTTTCCCAGGAACGGTTACGAGTGGTTTATTTTTTCTAAGGACGCATCATCATCTATCCAGGATTTTCTTGATCTCGCATCCACATCTATCCTTCAATCAAACGGGATTGGCGGCTGGAAAGCGGGGCTTCCAGGCTTAATCAAGACTAGGGGATGACCAAAGAGCATGCTCGCGAAGGAGACGCAGAGTGCGTCGCGGGTGCGAGCGGTCGCCTTCCAGCCGCCAATCCTGTTGTATCAAAAGCTGTTTCATTCTCGTACATCTTTTACGCTTGTTTTCTCAAATAATTCATGATGAAGTTTGATAAGTGAACATTATTTCTTGAACTGTGTACTTTTACATTTTACATAAAAATCAGATCCACATCAAATTTTGAAACTCTCAGCTATTTAGATTGTTCATCTAGTCATCTCAATGGACACAAATTGATTTATTTGCAATTTGCCAAACATCAAATATATTTGGATAAAATAGCTAAAGTGCTAGAAAAATTGTCCGCAACGCTGTGTGAGGAATTTCTCGCATTTGCTAGATTGGAATTCTCTTAGCGGTGACGAAATAGCATCGATCTAAGCTTATCCTCCCTTCACTTTTGCTTTCAGTAGACTCTTTCTCTTTGCTTTTTATCACTCCTCCAGCCACATCCTTTTATGACTACTCAAACAATATAAAAATCTTCGCAATTCAAACAAAAGAGCTGCGATTTGCTGAAAGCAGTTTTTGCAAACGTAGAGGCGAGAATAAAGTGCCTCTTGCCCTTTCATTTTGTCCTTTTTTATCCTAGTCCTAGAATGATTGATCACTCCTCGAAAAATTGATGTTGCACCTTTCTACGCCTTTTCACCTATATATCTATTGCTGGTAAAAAAGCTTGCTGGTTATATCCCAGCAAATTTCCATGGATACCAAACCTGCCATATCTCTTACGTTTGTTTGAATAGAGCACTTACACTGCGAATAGGCTTGACTGCAGGACAGCTGGTACTTACTGCTCAAATATGCTAACTTGTACCAGATGTGCGTGCAATCTTTCGATGGCGTAACCTTCTGCCAAATTTTGCCTTTCCAGTTGTTCGAGTAGTAAGGGACGTTATCAATTCAAAATTAGAATATTGAATTGGCTATTATTTGTTTTTGTTCCTTGCTTGTTGCTATATAAAATAAAATGTTGATCATTGGCAGTAAACTGCACTTGCGCGGACATGTAGCACAAACGCTGCACCTTTATAAGCTCGTTCTGTGCTGCTTGTCCCCGCAGTAGAGGCTTGTGGAACCATTTTGCTAGTTAATTTTGAAGCAGAGTCGTCTGTCTTATGCCTGAGCACTGCTTTGATTACATTAAATGATTTATTCATGTGATTCAACATACTTGTCCTCACTAAGAAAAGATATCTGACCTTACCTCGATTCTGGGTTCCCTCAAATTTCCTAAAGGAAAAAAATTATTGGTATTTTTTTCAGAAATTCTCATTGGATTCAACGTCATCTGGTGATCAGAACATGTTTAGCGAAAGGCAAAACAAGCCCAATCCTCCACTTCAGGTATGGCGAATCCACTTACTCACTTATGAGCCTGTTTGCCTAACTTATATAACACATTCAGTTTGCTCATAAGCAATCATCTTCTGTCGATGGCGAGTTGTCGATGATATTCGATCGACGAAACAAAATTAATGAAGGTCAGTTTTTAACGCCAAAAGAAACATTTTTGTGGCAGTCAAATCATAGTCACATACCCACATTTTATTAATTACTGGACAGTTATCGAGTCTAGAACATTTTTCGGGGTTTAGAAAATCCCCACACTTACAAAGTTCATTCATTGTCCTAATAAGGAGAATGTATTGAAGAGCCTCTTGATCCAAATTTGATAAATATTGAAACTGGGAACATTTGCAGTACTTTCGCCGTGGTAAATTGTTCAAAAGGGGCAATGGTGCATATAAAGCTATGGAGAATATATAAAGTACTAAAAACAAATTTGTAATTTTCGTTTCTTTCCTAACATTAAACGGAACCAGGCAAAGATCACTACCTTCCCCAGAAGTCATCGGTAGTGAGGAAAGATCTATACCATAAACAAATAGAAAATCAAACTAACCTCAACTATACCGTTCTTAGCTCTAAATGGGATATTCTGAAAAATACTATTTCTATAAATAGTACTATAAAGGAAAGAAATGTAAGCCTATGATTCAAAAAAACCATAATTAAATAAAAATAATAATGAAAATAAAAACCTCCAAAAAATCTTGCTGATCTCGATTTTAGCAGACCTAGTATAATTACGAGTTTTAGTAACATTTTGGCAAATTTTCTAAAATCACTTGCTCTTCATGAAGCTTCTCCGAAAGCTGCGATTTGGACAATTTTGTGCATGGTAGAGAAGAATGGTTTGAGCTGATGCCGTCTGCAAAAGTTGGTAGCTCTCATAAAAAAAAGAAACTGTCAACCTCGATTATTATAAATTTAACCTTAGGCAAAGTAATAGAAATAATAAAATCAAGTGTGAATAGTCCCACCTTTCGCTTTTGGATATAAGCTCTCACTGTTTCTACCAGTGGCGTATCCAGGATTTCCGCTCGGGGGGGGGGGGGCGCGACAAAAATTTTTTTCAAATGACGGTGCGTGGCGTTAGCCACGCAGTCCGAAAAAATTTTAGGGGTGCTTTTCAAAATTTTTGCGGGTCCCCGACCCCTAAAATCTGGAATAAGTGGGCGTGGCGTCAGCCACGCCCCCGAAAAAATTTTTTTACAAGGCTAATTTGAATTTTTAAAAATCTTTAAAAATTATTTTAATTATTTACAAGTATGGACAAGTCACTTGCATATTTTTATAACCCATAAAAGTAACTTTCAAAAATGGCGACCCATTCTCGGGGGGGGGGGGGGGCGCCCCCCCCCCCCCGACCCCCCCCTCGGTACGCCACTGGTTTCTACAGATATTTTCGTAAATGATCTTAAAAAAATGGCTTCTAGCTTTACGAATGATGGTGGCAACTTCAGAAAAGACTAAAATTTTAAGTCGATTCCTAGCGGGGCTGAATCCCTGCCTAGAGACGACGCCATTGAAGCAGTGGTGCAAATGAACCAAGAAAAACCATTTCCCTTTATTTAGTTTGAAAACAATCTTTTCCCTTTTTGAATATCGTTATGGAAACGGCATAATCGCTATCCATAGGAGGGTAATGTGCTGAAGCCAGTGCACCCGGCTAATGCTCAACGTGTAGCGTTTACAGCTCTCCGGGTGTATGTGTGTTTTAGGGCTTTATCCTCATTAGTGGCGATTTCTGCCTACACAGAATGTTATCCGGGTCATTCACATGGGTACGCGCATCTCTAGCTTTCATTTCATTGATGAACTTGACCTTACTACTCTCCGAAAATTTTCAAAATTTATTGGTATCTATCATTTTCATTCAAACATAGATTCTCAGATTTTTCAAATTTCTTGTTTTTTTTTATCGTAGTAGATGATTAGTAGTGCCGGAACCGATGCATTTGACTATCCTTCTTAGTGAGGTTGGCAACTAGACCTTTGATCCAAAAACGAATCTCTTCCTTAATGTGGAAAACTTTACAAGTTTGCTATTCGAAGGTTGGGATTACTTCTTATGACTGGACCGCAATCTAACTGACAAAGCATAACTTCTTCTATCTGTTCCTCATGTAATTCTAATGCAGAACAAATCTTTATAAACAAAAATTACACCATAATAAGAATTTATGGTAAGATGAAAAGATAAGAGAAAAAGCAGAGATTACAAATGGGTAATCCAAATGGGTAATCTCGCAAGTATTGCCATTTTTTCAAGTTCCAGTAATCTAACTAATGCACTAGATGATGTCAGATGTACGAAATTCGTACATCTTTCACTAAAGTGCTTTTCTTTGTTGCAAAGTATCGATTTAAGTTGCAATGTGTAGGTTTTACAGCTCATCGCTTCAGTTTCGTAGCAAACAAATAAGTTTCTAGAAAAGCTTGGCGCTGGGTTATTTCTTTCAAAGAATTGCGTGTGTAGCTTTTTTCAATGCCCACAGTTCGCTATCCATAGAAAATGCAATCTGTTCTTGTTTTGCTTTTTCTTTTCAAATCTGTATTGTAACACAAGACGTAAAGCTTCGTTTTTAAATTTGAGTTTCATAGGATATTTTAGTGTTGGTGGAGATTTTTAGCACAATTTCATATTTAAAAATGCTCACTTACGGTAGCTCTAAAGTAAAGCAAGGTTTAGCAAGCAGGATTTCTATAAAATGAATCATCCCTTGGTGTTTCGGGATTCTATGGTTTACCTCTTGGTCCCCTGTAGCACTGTATTGTTCCACTAAAGGGGAAGGACACCTTATTTTTTGAATATTCGTTGTGATTTTTCATTATTATAAAAATAACAGGAGGTGTTCTGTAACCAAACTGTTTTTATATAATGAATGTCGTACATAGATCAGATATATGGGATTTTTAAGAAAATGAGCTTTCATATCATCTAGGTCATGTCTTCATTCGACAGAAAGAAGTAGAAAAAATTTGTTACCACTTCCTTAAGTGGTTTTATTTCTTGTACAAATCAGCGCTCTTGTATACGTACCTATAAATTACGGCTCAATCCTGAAGGTCCCCTATGACTCCTCCTTTTTCGAAAAGGAATTTCCATTTGACCGATGGCACCCGTCCCATGCAGGTTTTGCCTGTTTCATGTCTATGCAGATCGGTTTTTTACAACTTTTTATTGGTGGAGGAAACTCGATTTTGAGTTGGTAAAACCTATAATCTCGAACCGGTCTTGCATACAATTCTTTTGCTGATCAAGTAATTACCATAACGTTTGATTAATTTTACTAACTAATTACGAAAAAAGCTCATTTGAGTTAGAGACTACTCGTTGTGTTTGAAACTCACAAAGCTATACATCCGAATACACCGAGTCGAACGCGTTTCTTCAGACAGATGCTCCGATAGATTTCACCTTTATAGTCCAGGATTAGTCACTCGACCGCAATCTCTTCGTCTGACATTTACGCTCTGCGTTCTCTTTGCCATTTGCGCATTCTCATCACATTATCGTCAGATCTCTTCCCGGGTGAGGGTTATTCTTACACCTCTCATATCTGTTGTCACCCGCCACATCCCGTACAATTTATTGTACGACCTGTTACCATGGTTACTCACGAGCAAGGTAGTTTTTCTTTTGATTTTCGGGGTTTGATTTTTTGGGGAGGAGAGGAGGATGACCATTTGATTAGTTGAAAAAGTATCACCAGGTTACTTTACTATTTTCGCCAACCATAATTTCAAATTTTAATATCCGCCAACTCTTTTGCCAATCATTTGTCTTTGTTTGGACGAATAAAATCAGTGATCCTGTAAAAAGTTAAGCGAAAAAATGAATGAATAAGCGTAAGCTACTAAATAATTCTGATATGGATATAAACAATGCGTTTCTCCTTCTATCATATATTTTATGTAATAAAAGCTAATATTTTTGCTTACATACTAACGCGTCGCTTGATTTTTAACCATCAAAAGTTTGTTTTGAAAATCCAATACTGAAAATTGATAGTCAAGTACCAAGATTGAAATTTCTAGAGGGTTTATTTCTGGAGAGAATAGTCTCACAAAAGCTGGCCCAGGTTTACCATATCTCTACATTTATTTAAAATCCACCCATTAACTATTTATTTGTTGATTCAATGGACGCAAATGTCTTCTGAAACAAAAGAAGGAACACAGAATCAGTCTACGAACAGCAGAAACTATCGAGAAACCTTTTCTTTTCAAAATTTCATAAAGATGCAGTAAAACAGCAAATTTTTGCGAAATTCACTTGAGAGACGGACATTTTCTCGCAAAATTCTTTTCAGAGTTTTTTGAAGTTAATGAGTCAGATTTTCTAAAAAGTCGTTTTCGAGAAAGCCTTTACTTGGCGAACAAATTTTTTCAAGTCAATGCAAGAATCCACATTCTTTATAGCATTAACTGATCTTCATCGAATTGCTTTTTTGTCTCTTCGTTCTCGACTAAAAACTTTTTCAATTTTTTTAGCAACGTTTTGAATTCAATTAGTTCTGATTTGAAAAATCTTGAAAGTCGGGCTTAGTTTTACCCAATATATGCGGAAAGTATTAGATCGCAACATAAGTTCTGTTAGACTCAGAGGAAAAAACGTTCATAAATTCCTCAAAAAATTTTTTGTCAACTCCAAAATTGGATGGTTGTATCTTTTTAAAATTTACATGTCATCTGTGAAAATCAAATTTTTGAATTTTCTAAAATTTTTCTGTTAATTTTGGCAATTTTCAACTTTCCAATTTCCAACTGTTTGCAAGGACTTCCAAACTGCCTACATATAAGTAGTCATGACTCCAGAAATCCATAAAATTCTGAGAGCTAAAAAAAACAAGAATGAGAAAATTTTCATAAGAAGAAGAAAAATGGAGATTAAAATGCTTCGTCACAAGTTATCTTTATTTTTACTATAATCCATATCTGTAAAGGTGACTGCTCACATGTACAAAATATTAAACTTTGCTGAAGTATCTAGAGTT